TCATCTAACATACTAAGTTTCTTTCGAAGTTATTAAAATATTTTAAATTTGTGAGATTTTATAAGTATATCGATCACTTGTTCACTTATCTTGATATGATGTAGCTTCACTTTTTTATTTTTGATATGATCTCTTATAAAATAAAATCTTATGTCGATATGCTTCGATTTTTCATGGTAGACTAAATTCTTGGATAAGGCAATAGTTGATTTGTTATTAACATAAATCTTGGTTGACTTCTTTTGTAGCATATGAAGTTTTTGAAGTAATCTTTTTAGCTAGATTATATTACAAACTTGATAGAGCAAAGATCTACTATTTTTTTGAAAATCAAGTGAATGTAGTTTCACCAAAATAAAATATAAATCTAGTTGTGCTTTTCCGATCATCGTAGTTTACGGCCCAATTATTATCACAATATCCAATGAGCTCTAATCTTTTAGATGATGAATATAATATTCCATACTCAATTGTTCCTTTAATATATCATAAAATTCTTTTAGTGGTATTTAAATAAGATGTCTTAGGAGCTTCCATATATCTACTTATTAAACTAACTCCAAATAGTATATCAAGTCGAGTGTATATCAAATATCTTAAACATCCAACTTGACTTTTATAATAAGTTGGATCAATATATTTACCTTCACCTTTCTTAGTCAACTTGGTGCCATATTCAATAAGTGGACGATCTTCCATGGAAAACTTCTTTAGAACCTCCTTTATATAATTTTTTTGTAAGATAAAAATTCCTCTATTATTTTGTATAATTTATATACCGAGAAAATAAGTCATTAGGCCCAAGTCGATTATCTCAAATTCCTTTTTCATAGAGTACTTAAAATCCTTCATCATAGAGTTACTATGTAAATATTAAATCATCTACATACAAGCTTACAAATAAGATATCTTCATTAGAGTTAGATTTCGTAAAGAGAGAATATTCATGTGAATATCTACAAAAATGATTTTGAATAAAATAAGCATCTATCCAAGAATTTCATACTCGTGGAGCTTGTTTAAGCCCATAAAGAGCTCTCTTTAACTTGTATACTTTATCTTCTTATTCATGAATAATAAAACCATGGGGTTATTAAATATATACCTCTTCTTCAAGAACTCCATTAAGAAATGCTGATTTGATATCTATTTGTAAAATTTTTCATTTCATTTGAGATGCTTGGGAGATAAATAATCTTATTATCTCCAATCGAGCAACTGGTGCAAATATTTCTTCATAATCACTCTCAAATTATCAGTTTGTATCCCTTTGCATCAAATCGGGCCTTGTATTTCTTCATATTCCCTTTTATATTTCTTTTTGTTTTAAAGATCTACTTAACACCAATCGCTTGGTGGTCTTTTGAAAGTGTAATAAGGTCTCATGTATCATTTTTGTTAATGGTATAAATCTCCTCATTCATAGCTTGTCATCATTTTTCTTCTCTATAAGCTTTTTCGAAGGTTAATAGATCATATCCTACAAAAAGATAAAATAAAGAAAGTTCATCATTGTTAGTATCAATCATTCGAGTCACATCATATAGCTTCTGAATCGGTCTTGTCCTTTTTATAATTGAATTTATTTAATCATATGACCTAGCTGATTTAGGTGATGATTCCAGCAAAACCACTTTGATGTTTGCTTGTATTATATCATCCACTTCTGAATTTATAGCTTTCTTGTGCTGCTTATTACTTTTCTACTTCTAAATCTGTTGCTCATCAAACTCAACATCTCTTGACATCATAACTTTGTTTGTGATAGGATTGTAGAGTTTATAACTAATAGAATTCTCTGGATAACGTAGCAAAATATATTTTTGACTTTTATCCTCTAGTTTTGCAAAATACATTTCTGACTTTTATCCTCTAGTTTTGTTCTCTTTTCCTTTGATATCTTAGCAAATATAACACTTTCAAAAAATTTTAAATGATCAACTCTTAGTTTCTACAAGCTCCACACTTCTTCTAGTGTAAAATTATCAATTCGCCTTATAGGAAACTTATTAAGCAAATAAACTGTACAAACAATAATATTTTCCCAAAATTCTTTAGGAATTTTTCTTTCTTTTAACATGCATCAGACCATATTAAGTATAATCCTATTTTTTCTTTCTCAGACATCATTTTGTTGAGGTGTGTATGACATGATGAATTGAATTAAAATTTTATTATTTTTATAAAAGCTTTTAAATTTATTTGATATATATTCACTACCTCTATCTGTTCTTAAACATTTAATCTTATAACCACTTTATTTTTTAACCAAATCCTTAAATTATTTGAATTTGCTTAAAAAAAATTTCTTTTCTTTTAACATATAAACCCATGTTTTGCCACTATGATCATCAATAAAGCTAAGAAAGTACTTGCTTTCTTCAAGTGATATTGGACTAATAGGACCACAAACATCTGAGTGCACTAGATCAAGTCGATGTCATGTTCTTTTTATTCTTTTGACTTTGAAAGACTTTCTTTCTTGCTTACCTATAACACATACTTCACATAATTTTGATTTTGATGGGCAATTAATTTTTGACATTCTTATTACCATATTATATTTCTCTAGAAGTTTCAAAGCTTCAAAATTTAAGCGAGCATATATAAGATGTAGATGTCATAGTGTAGAAATATTCTTAATATCAATTTTACCAATCAAAAATATATAAATGCAAAGGAAACATTCTGTTCTTTATCATTTTCACATGTGAGATTAATTTTTTATTCTCATCATGAATAGAAAGAGCCATATCTTTCATCTTAATATCATAACATGTTTCAATTAATTACCTCAAGCTTAGAATATTATTTTTCATATCAGAAACATAATAAACATCTAAAATACATAATTTTTTACTATTATTAAGTCTAAAAAAAAATTTACCTTTGCATCTTACTGATTTTGTAGACAAATCACTAAATGTAATGTTCCCAAAATAACTTATATTTATTTTTGAAAATAGTTCTTTGATGCCACACATGTGATTTGAGGTTCTTGTATTTAGATACCATGTCATAAACGGATCATCTTTCAAATTATCATAAGTCATTAGCAAAACTTATTTTTTATTATTTTCTTCCTTAATAAAATTTATCTTATCACTTGATTATTAGGATTACAATAACATTCATAGGAGTAATGTCTATACATTTTACAAACATAGCTTGTATTTCAGACATTTTATAATTTTTGTCATGTCCACGACCTCTACCACGTCCTTAATCATAACCTCGATCTTTTTTGGCTAGAATATTCTCTATTACTTTTATTATTTAGAGATTCTTAATTGGTCTGATTTTTGCCTCCTCTTCCTCTTTGTTCACGTTCTCTTCCTTTTAAGAATTTAATTCACTTTTATTTTTTAGAGTAAGCTTGATTTATAGTGCTTACTTCATAGTTTTATTTTCTCTTCATTTTGTAATCTTTTGTTCATGAACTTGAAGGGAACCTATAAGTTGTTTTAAATATATTTGTTTCAAACCTTTAGATTATTTAATCGCAACAGTAATAAAATCAAATTTTAGATCTAGAGATCTTAATATTTTTTTTATTACTCTTTGATCACTTATTTGTTCACCATTTCGTCTCATTTGATGAACAATAAAAATGATTTTTGAGAAGTAATAAAAAATAGTTTTAGAAGTACCTTGTTGTAATTTTTGGCTAGAATTTTCTCCATTACTTTCATTGTTTGGAGATTCTTAATTAGTTTGATTTCTGCCTTCTCTTCCTCTTTGTCCACGTCCTCTTCCTCTTTAAAAATTTGATTCACTTTTATTTTCAAAAGTAAGCTTGATTTGTAGTGCTTATTTCATAGTTTTATCTTCTTCTCTTTTTGTAATCTTTTGTTTATGAATTTGAAGGAACCCATAAGTTCTAAAGATATTTGTTCCAAATCTTTAGATTCTTTAATTGCAACAACAATAAAATCAAATTTTAGATCTAGAGATCTCAGTATTTTTTTCTATTACTCTTTGATCACTTATTTATTCATCATTTCGTCTCATTTGATGAACAATAAAAATAATTTTTGAGAAGTAATAAAAAATAGTTTAAGAAGTGCATTGTAGTAATTTTTCAAACTCAGCTCGTAAAACTTATAGATAAAATTTTATCAATACCATCAAATGCTTGTTAAAGCATTTCCCGTATCTTCTTTGAAGTATTTGCTAGAGCGATGATCTCGAATATTGTATCATCAAACCCTTGGTAGATCGTGAATAATACATTTTTCTCCTTCTTCCTTCTATCTTTGAGTTATTTTCTTATTTCTACATTCATTGCTCTTCTGTTAGACTTGATACAACAAATCTATTTTCTACAAACTTTCCATATATCTTGTGAGCTTACAAGAATATTCACTTGGATACATTACTCATTCTTCTGTTTGGACGGTTCAATAAATCTATATTCTATTAACTTCCATTGCATACGAACACCCGTCACTTTCTCCTCGCCATGGACACTGAGTCCGTTTATACCCAGAGAGTCGTCGTGGAGGCCGGCCACGATTCCCACACCTGGAGGAAGCTCACCGGAGACAACTTTTCGTCGCACGCCAGCTACGCCGATCTGAGGCAGAGATCTGTGACGGACATGGGGAGTGTCTCGCGAACCGACAAGAAGATCGTCGAGGGAGAGTTCTGTTACGTCATTATTATGATACAGAGACGGAAAATGAAAAGAACAAGAAGCAGAGAATATACGAAAATTGAACTCCTACAAAGATTCATTTGGATGAAAAGAAACCTGGTGCACTTGAACAACCGCAGCTAAAGACAACTAGTAACAGGTTTTCTGAAAAATAAATGTCAAGACATTCAATTGAATGATTGCGGAGAACCTAATCAAGATGAACATTTTTGTACGTCAGTCACTTTAACATAGGACGAGGACTAGTGCTCTGATAATTGTCAGGTTTCTGTATTTTTTATTGTAGCTTTCTCAATAAGGTTGTTATCTCCAAATATGCATGCGAGTATGATTTCCTTGCTTCTTATTTCCTTTATGAAAATTACCCTAAGTTTTGATTATTATCTTTGTCACAGATGTACCGAAATCCACTGCAAGACAATCCAGCCTATTCAGTCGTCAAGTACGTATGTGATGATTTCTTCATCGGAATGATAACTTCAGTTCCTTTTTCTTTATAAGACAATAAATTACAGAATTGTTTCCCTTTTCCTGGAAGCACTTTGTTAATGAGGATGATACTGTTCCACAAAAGGTGAGAAACATTGATGGAAAAATTTTGATATCAGTAATCTGTTATTTCCAGGATATTGATTCTTGAACTTCTGTTCTCTGGACTCTGTAGATTGTTGTTCAGAAAAGCAGTCCTGGAGGAATCCATTTTCAACGAGGCGAGCCTCGTCAGAGGGGTATGCTACACGACATAGATGCTAATCAGCCAAGTGCTGCGGAGAATCTTAATTGACAGGTTGTTTGCATTTTATTTCAGGTATATTTTGGGCCAGAAGATGTTTATGCATGCATTCTAACCTGTGGAGGCCTTTGCCCTGGGCTTAATACAGTGATCAAGGACGTAGTTTGTAGACTGTCCTACATGTATGGTGTCAAAATGATCGTTGGTATACAGGTGAGGAACAAGAAAGTTGGCCACTTCATTAGTAAGTTTCACTAATGATTTTTATGGCGATTTACTTCAAATTTCTTCCTTTTGTGTTGGTCATTTATGCTTGTTGTAGATTTGATATCATTCATGCATTAACTGACTTGGTCACCACCATCTGTATTCTTGCACTAACTTGGTCAATATCATCCATAGGGTGGATATAGGGGATTTTATGCTCGCAACACTATACCTTTGACTCCAAAGAGTGTCAATGATATCCATAAACGGGGAGGCACAATCCTTGGCACATCACGAGGTGGTCATGATGCTATAAAGATCGTCGACAACATTCAGGATATAAATCAGGTAATTTGTTGAAGTATGATGCATCTTAGTGTTTTTATTATATTTTTCAGCTGAAGGATTTACAGTCTTTTATATTTTAGAAGTTGATTTATAGGTGGTTTCTCTTTCCTCCGGTTTATATTATAGGAGGAGATGGAACCCAAAAGGGAGCTGCTGTGATTTTTTAGGTAATTGAATCAGGAAGCAGAAAAAATAGAGTTTTATGCACTGTAAACTATTGCAATTACAGAACCTCACTTGTATGCTAAGATTTCATAACATGATGTAATGTTTTTTTGTTTCAATAGTGATGTACAATCTGCCCTAGTCCGTGATGATCATAGACTGAAAAATATTGCCTTCCCATAGTAACTCTTTTATCTTTTTTGTTTGTTGTCCAAAATCTGTCTCCTTTACAATGGGAAAAGTGATGCACTTAGCTTGTATTGCTGCTTCGGAGAGAATATGAAACTCTTTCTCATATTTAATCTTTTGCATGTGGAGCAATGATATAGTCTATCCTATAATTGATAAGACAAGTGAGTCTAAACCTTTTATGTTCCTTTTCTTGTTTTCTAGGGAATTCGAAGACGTGGCCTCAAACTTGCCGTTGCTGGTACTCCAAAGACAACAGATAATGACATTGCGGCACTGCTTTTTCTATGTTAACTGTACTTCATGCAATTGTATGATGGCACATTCTTTCCATGTTAAGCGCTTGCAGCATATAATTTGCAAGAACATTCTTTTTTAATTCAGGTTATTGACAAGTCCTTTGGTTTCGATACTGCTGTTGAAGAGGCCCAGCGTGCCATCAACGCTGCACATGTAGAAGCGGAAAAAGCATGGAGAATGGTATAGGTGTTGTGAAGCTAATGGGTTGCTACGGTGGTAAAGTTCATTTCTTAGTAAAATAGCTTCATCCCACTGGCCAATTATGTTTTGTACTTTGTAATTTAAATGATTAATGTTAGATCTACCTCTACTTCTAGTCAAGCAGTTCAACTTTTTACCTAAGATGAGAAGATGGAAAAAAAAAGAAAAAAGATATATTATTTTTCCAAAAGCTTCTCTCTTTATCGTCGATAAGTAGTGCAATTCAGCTCCTTTTTTGAGTTTTTATACCAACAGTCTGAGTGAGTTGTAAATGTCAGAGAGAAGTTTTGTAATGTTATGTTTTGTGTATCCGAAGATCTAACATTATTTAGCAAGCATACTCTTCAATTTTTGTCTGTACTAATATGGATTTAGCAACTACCCTACTATATTGTGTCAGAACTTACATCTAATGAGATTCCATAATGCAGGGTTCATCGCAGTGTATGCTACTGTTGCTAGCAGGGATGTGGTATGTCTGATAACTTCTTGGTCATCTTAGTCTCTGGATTCTTGACCCTTTGTTTGAGATTCTAAGTTTCATCTTGAAATGCATACTTTATATTTATTTTTCTTTTCACTAAATAGTGACACATCTTCTTCCCCATGTCATGCTTATTTTATTAGGACTGCTGCTTAATACCAGAATCGCCATTTTATTTGGAAGGCAAAGGTGGACTTTTTGAATGTATAGAAAAGCGGCTTAAAGAGAATGGGCACATGGTTATCGTGGTTGCTGAGGGTGCAGGGCAAGAACTTTTGGCTGATAGCATCCGATCCATGGGTCATGAAGATGCTTCTGGAAACAAGCTGCTTCTTGATGTAGGATTATGGTTATCATCTCAGAAGATAAAGGTGAGATCCACAAGATAGTCACACAAGGAACTTTTTTGTCTTCTTTAAATTTCACTTGCCACTAAAATATACTCAGTTTTGCATGTCTTTGCAAATTTAATGCATGTGATCGAGTAATTTCCTAAAATCCCATGTTGATGACTAATAAATATAACAAAATAATGGAGATATGCCCTGCTTTAGATATGGTTGTGCAATCTCAAGTTTCACAAATGCTTTTAGTGATAGTGATGGACGTTTCTCTTTAAGCATTACATTGCAAAATACAGTGTCCGGTTGAAGTTTTGTGAAGAATGCAAAATATCGTTGCAAATCTGAACACAAGATTGCATGTATCTTTGTCTCGTAGGATTACTTTACAAGCAAGCAGGCAAAAAATGAGAATTAATCTTGAATATATAGGTAGGTAGGTAGGTAGGTAGGTACATGGGTAGACTTGGCTATCTGCATATTTAGTTCCAGTAAATAACTGGGTCTAACATGCAGCTTGAAATGCAGATCCTACTTACATGATTCGTGCAATTCCAAGTAATGAATCTGACAAATGTCTACTGCACACTTTTGGCACCAAGTGCTGTTCCGAATAACTGGGTCAGACTTGTATTGAGTTAGTGAAATGTCGAGGGATTGGAGGTTTTAGTTTTCGGCAGCAGCACATGTAAGAAAGCATCCAATTAAGTACCTGTACTTACATCCATATAAATATGATTTTGAATTGTGCTGTACACACTTGACGTCTGCAAACATTACGTGTGTGAGCATGGTCTTTCCACTTGTGGATTTGTTTGATCGCTCACGTGCCCATGGCTAGTTTAGATTCTCTTTTGTTTTCCCTAGTTATTCTTGCGGCCAATGCAAATGCCATGAATGAATTTATATATCTGGTTTATATGGATGCTCACAGGCCTTGAAAGAAAGAAAAACGTCCTTGGAAAATTGATTTTTGGATGACGGGTTATCGTTCTCAGACATGACAAGTATGGATTTAATTACTGGTATGAAGCCATGACCCTGTAACTCGAATCGTTTGGATGATGATGCACCTTTGACACACGAGTTCAATGACCAATCCTTGGACTAGCGCCTCCCGAGAGGACGAGTTCTACATATGACTTTAGGTCGTAAGAAATAATAAAAAAATTTGTTATCTCAGAAGAAAAGTAATTTTCCTTTCTATTTAATTTCCTACAAGTCTTGCGTCGACAAAGCAGGTCATCTTCCCAGTTGACCCTTCCACCGTTGACGCGATTACATGATTTAGGGTTGACCGGATTGGGTGTCGGATCAGAAATGAGGAGCACGCTCTCAGCCAGTGCGGCTCTTACAAAGAATCCGTGAAAAGCGGGACCCAGTCACTGTACAGACGTGGACAAACCAAGGCAGGTGTTAATTAGGAAACGTGCTCGCGTTGCGATAAATCGTGGACTGTTTGGATTGCGATGTGCTTTTTTTTTTTCTCTTTTGATTGCGATGTGCTTACGTTAACGAACACGTCCACCATCGAAAATAAATCACCGCTAGCACTCAGCACGACACTTGGGAACATGGCATCATCATCTTGGTGCTTGGTCGCTCTTTTCTTTGCCATCGCCGCCACCATTCCTGCTGCTCATGGCCAGTCGCCGCAAGGTCAGCGCTCATGGCGATCACCTTTCATTTTTTTGTCTTTTTATCTTTCAATGATAATTAGTTTATAGTAAAGGGAGAAATATAGATATGATATCTTGCTCGTGGTACTAAACAATACTGAATTGACTGCAATTAATCGTTGTGATTCTTCTTCTTTTTAGCGGGCTTTATAAGCATCGACTGTGGGAATTCCAAATCTGATTACGTCGATCATAGTACAAGTTTAACATACGTTTCCGATGACCGATTTATCGACGTGGGATCAGATTTCTACATCCAATCAAACTACATAAACTCCTCTGTTCCAACGCTACAACTCAATCTCAGAAGCTTTCCGGATGGACTCCGGAATTGCTACACCTTAAAGCCTGTGCCTCAGAACAGTACGTATCTTGTCAGAGCAACTTTCATGTACGGGAACTACGATGGCAAGAATAGCCAGATACAATTTGATCTTCACATCGGAGTCAATCATTGGAAGACGATGAACATCTCCGATCCATCTGCTATCTATACGGCCGAGGCTTTGAGTCTTGCTACTGCCAATTCCACATCGGTTTGTTTGGTTAATACTGGGGGTGGAACTCCTTTTATATCTTCGTTGGAGTTGCGGCCATTTGAGAACGGTGATTACCGGGAATACGTAAATGCTTCGCAGTCTGTGGTTCTCGTCACACGGCGCAACATGGGAGCATCCGACTCCGTGAGGTAAGCGAAACATACACTTCTTTATTTTGTTTCTGTGAATGGCGATTTTTCTTAGAAGACGTCTTAAATTTTTTTTTTTTCTAAAGAACGTCATTTCTTTTGGATTTTCCCAAATAGGATCCTTATTTCAAAAAAATATTCAAAATACTCTTCACCAACTATTTCCATCAAAATTTTCTGCTAATTTTCCTCTAATTTTGAATTATCATAGTAATTTTCATTTGACTCATTTATAATATTTTTATTGAGGTATTGAAAACACTATAAGTAAGATTAAAAAATATCGTAAGTGATATCATATTATACCTATTGTAAACTGTTACAAAACCATATATTTTGGGCTTGGAATTGATGTGGTCAAGGTCAACAATTTATTTGGGTCATTGACAATATTTTCAAGTAGGTTTTATAGTATTTTTATCTTAACTATTGGTTTAGTGATGATGTACCAAATCAAGTTACCAAAGGTTAAGGGTTAGAATATATATATATATATATATATATATATATATATATATATATACATATATATATAGTCTTTTTATTATGGTGACTAAACATTATAACAAGTTAATTTTTTATTATTTTTTAAGTGATATTATTCATAAATTATTATAAATATCTATTTGAATGATAATATCAAATGATTTATAATACATTTCGATTCTGTTTGGTTTATTTATAATTTTTTTAAATAGATTTTGTTGTTGTTGTTGTTGTGGTGGTGGTGGTTAAAGCATTATAACGAGAGAAAAAAATACATTCTACTTTTGTAAGCAAAAATTTCAGGTATTTATTGAATAAAAATACTATTTAGAAAAAAAAATAAAAGAAAATAATGTTTAAAAAAATAAAAATGAGAATCTTTTTGCAAGAAATCGCCCTTCTATCGATCCATTTAATAAATGGAGTATGTTTTCCTCATATTTTCCCCTTGAAAGCTGTGTCTGCACATAATGGGCAAAAAAGCCTGTAAGCCCATGGGAGCAATCTCAGATTCCCTTAGTAAGCGACCTGATTTCTGAGGTCTGGTGTGTGAAACGGGCGATGGACCGATTGACCCAAATAAGGAGATACAATTTTATTTCAGAAACGCTGAGAGATATCATGAACAGGTTCCCGGACGACCCTTACGATCGCGTTTGGAAGCCCTTGACGGATCCCTCCTGGTCCATCTTGTCCTCCATCTCGACGGTGAACAATAGCGGCAATATGTTTGAGCCGCCGTCCGCCGTGATGCAGACGGCGGTGACTCCGGTCAGTGGTTCGCAACTGGCCTTCTCCTGGGACTCCGTCTCCCTCGACGACGAGCTTTACACCATTCTGCACTTCACCGAACTCCAGAAACTGACGGGAAACGCGACGAGGGTGTTCAACATCAACCGCAATGGGCATTTGTGGTATATCTCATACAGTCCGCCTTACCGGTCGGCTGGCGGCATGCACGACATTGTGCCATTTAAGGGCTCTTCTCGGTACGAATACGTTCTGAACGCGACGAGCGACTCCACCCTCCCGCCCATCATCAACGCCTTCGAGGTCTACTCGTTGATGCAGCTCACACAAGCCGCCACCGATTCCGGAGACGGTAAGGCGCTGCAGCCTTCTCCTTCACCTTCAAGTAATCGAAGCTTTATCTTTGTTTCTTGTCATCAAGAATGCAGCCAAATTAATAATTATCATTGCTAATATGTCAGATTAGGAAAATTGATGTCCGTGTTTTCATTTTTTCGCGTGTCGATTGTGAATTGCCAGTCTTCTCTGCAGCAGTTTTTAATGTTTTAGAACTCTACCTTGTACGGACTAATAGATAGAGGGTTCAACTAAGTGACAAGATGGGAATAGTTTGTGTCGCAACGACTACAACAAACCACATTTTCCTTTAATCAAGACAAAGAAATCCAACATTTTAAGAGTTGTAAATTTAATGATAAAACAGAAAGAAAAGATGGAAGAATGGGTTCTTTTAATGCAGCCCGACTTTAGGTTAGGCTAATTTTGATCTGATCTGATTGTGTTCGCCAAGCCCACGGATGGATACTAATTGGAACCCGTTGAGCAAACTTTGAGTGAAAGCATATCCAATACTTTCTATTTGTAATTGTGCTAAATTGGATGGGTACTAATTGTGTTCACATCATTTCTTTTGCAATTACTTTGCACCATTTAGTGAGTCAGGCTCTGCACTCAATATCATATTTGTTTGTGTTGCAAATTTCAGATTGGAATAAGACTTCAAAGCATGGTGGTCCATTGGTGGATCATAAGATTCAATCTGCCAAGCAGACAGGATAATTTTCTACATACGTTATCTGGATTTTTTTTTTGAAATGGAAATAACTGTGACTATGCTAATATCTCACGTTGACTGTACGTACTTATCCAAATTTTGGACAGTGAGTCTAAGATTCCAGGGATCGCACGTTCCTCTTTTTTTCCTTAAATTTTGCAAAACAGATTCCTACTGAGGATCAAACAAGTTGTAGTAGTTTGACCACAAAGCACCATTCAAGTGTTGGAATATGAAAATGATACTATTTTGAATTTAAATAAGAATAGCTTTACTTGCAGTGGTAAATTCTCATTCCAACAGCATAGCTATCTGGAACAGAGCATGCTGAGAACCAAAAGATAAATTTTTGTGGCCAGTTTTACTGTAACTCGATGTGTCTTAACATGGATAGTCTAGCTATTTCTGATTACTCATTCCACACGATCTTGACTTTACAAGATTTGTTTGGTTATTTTTCTTGGAAATGATATGTCTAGTTACAGCTTTTAGAATAAAAATACTAAATTCTGTCATTTCTGATAAATCATTTTTAAGATGAGTTGCTGATAATTAATTTGAACCGTGGTATAAGAATTCAGAATAGAGAGTAGTTTGGTTAATGTATCTCCCTGTTTAATTCAAGTTCCACAAACTGAACTTGGGCATGTAGCTAGTCCAAAAGCAAAAGGAATACTGGAGTATTCATAACTAAATCTTGCTATTGGACACAAATTACTTGCAGCACTGCCTTATGAAAATAATTAGGGAATATTATGTAGCACACCCACATGTGGTATCAATATATAGATTATTATTCTACATTGATGCTTGGTCATATATGTGATTGCAACCATAAGTAACATCTTAATTTCTACAACTCACTCAAAAATATTTTGTTTATTCTATTTTTCTATCTCATTACTGGCTGGGAACACCTGATACCAAATTAAAATGGGCATTTTAGTTAGTGAATATTTTCTATTAAAAAAATCATGTTCCTAGTATACACTAATGCGTGTTAATTCTTCTTGCATTTTCCTGGATACCAGTTGACGCCATGATGGCAATCAAATCACACTATCAACTTAAGAGAAATTGGATGGGTGATCCATGTGCTCCAAAAGCATACATATGGGATGGCTTGAATTGTAGCTACAATACTGATCCACCGAGGATCACAAATATGTAAGTGTTCAAGAAACTTAAAAGAGGGAGAAAAAAATTCATTTGATGGAATCATTGAGGCTATTATTAAAACTTGTACTCAAATAATGTTTTGTAAAATGCAATATTTTGCAGAAATTTGACTTCCACAGGATTGACTGGTGAAATATACATCTCTTTTGCCATGCTTGAAGCTGTCAAGTACCTGTAAGTGCAACTTGCTTTTGTTCTCTTTTCTAGAGCAAGTAATTTGGGTTATAAGTTATTGAAATATTTCAGTCAACGACCCAGATTGCTTCTCCTAATATCATATTTCTGTCAGCAATGTTGAACGAGACAATTAGTATATTGCATAAGCAAACTTCTTAATTTGATCCACAATTGAAAGCATCACCATGTCTAACCAGTCACAAATAATTATCTGAGCCAATACCAGTAATGTGCCATGGGTTAATTTCTCTGATCAATATCGATGCTACCTTTATAAAATTTAGTTCTTGCATGAGTGCAAGTAAGATATATACAGTTGCTTACTTAGTAACTAATTCTCCTGGTCCATACCAGTTTAATGTCCGCTGTTCGATTCTCAGGGAAGGCTAGCAAAAATCTGTGTACGGTAATAAAAATCAACATAGGCTGTCTCACATTATATGACAACTTTTTTCTACCGATGTTCCAGTCGTAACTTGGTCAACAAAGTATAATGATTATCGATCAAGAAATAGATAGGTATGATGTCTATTTTCGTCCGGTTGTTAATCTCTCAGACAATGCATGGGCTAAACGGAAGTGATCCTCTAAGCAGTTGCTGGAAAAAGGGGCTCTATAGGCATGACCACCACATAATGCAGAACCACATTATAACAGGTGTTCTTGAAATGGTTTTAGTGTTTCAGTTATGCAAGTAAAGAAAACAACACACAGCTTATGCTTACATTGCAACATAAATCAGCTAGTTAATAACTGTGCACCAAAGGGTGCTTACATGTCATTCAATGGTTGCAGGCATTTTTTTGTGGGTTTACACTGACTAGCTTATCTTACCTATTGCCTCTATTCCCTTTACAAAAGGCATTATTCAACATAGAAGGTCGGAATGCTTCTTGGAGATCTCGATATGATCTGTACATTTAAGACTTAAACCTAGAGGCTAAATTACTGCAGTTCGCATGTTAAGAAGCTCTTACGTGAGAAACAAGCTTCATGTGCTAAAGAACATATGGCTTTATGAATGGTTTAAGCTACTGTAAAGGATGTAAATACACTTTGACAACACCAATCACATTATGGGTACAAGCCCGCTGCATGTCAGAGCACTAGAAGCATTTTTTGTAAAGGGATAACCTCATGGGTACAAGTCCGCTGCATATCTTGACCACACTATGGATAACCTCATGGGAGCTGTACGAGAGCCTTCTTCTGGTATTGCTCAGAATATTACAGCTAAAAAGACGCATGGCCTTCCATGCTAGATGAACAGGAAATCATGTCTTCATATGAATCACTCGGGTCTGAATGGTGTTGTATATTTATCCAGCAAAACTTGCTATTCATCAGTTAGCTTTAATTATGATTTCAGTTTTGGAAGGTAGACTGTTGACTTCATGTAATGCAGAGAGCACAGTTGTTATGTCGAGCTGTTCACGCACTAAATGATCAATATATAATTTCAATTCCAGGGACTTGTCTCACAACAACTTTAGTGGAGCAATACCTGATTTTCTAGGCAGTTTATCATCTCTCGTTGTCCTGTAAGTGTTTCGCATCAAAGTTTTGCAGGCTTTTGATATATAAGATTAACGTCAAAAGTTTATGCTGTTTCAAGCAATCACTTGACAAAATTCAAGTTCACTGGATTAATTTTTGATTCTCAAGGACTTTTGCTGCTTGATAGTGATTCTTTTTTACGTTATATCGCAGAGATTTGTCTTTTAACAATTTAACAGGAACAGTACCCGATTCTCTTGAAAATCTTGTATCACTCCAAATTCTGTAAGTTATTCAACTTTTGATCCGGAACATAGATGAAAAATAGGAATATTGAAGAGCAATGTATTGTTTCAGAAATTTGGCAGGAAACAATTTCAATGGATCTGTTCCTGAAAAACTCTGCAAAAGGTCAGATGCTGGGTTACTTACACTCAGGTTTGTTTTTTTTTATCAAGCTCATGTATGTTTTAGGGATTATATCAATAAATATTGTGTTCTCATCCTACCAGACTGCATTCCTTTTGTCCACGGAAACTATTCCAAATATATCTTACTTGGTGAAAAGGTACTTGTGCCAACATAATACGGCACTCCCAGAACTCACCAGAATTCTAGATCATATCAAGAAGTACTTTTGTATGTGGTCACATAGGTTGTCCATTCTTCTTATAAAGCAGTAGCATCATATACCACTTTGATTATTCATATCAGACATTCTATGCCATGGAACTATTAAAGTACCTGAAGCTTACTTCCACTCTCCTCCATTTCTGCATTGGTCTCGTCTTACCTAAGTTGCTTCCTTGTACTAATTAGTCACTTCCAGAAATGTATGGAAACTGTGTACCTGGTGGAAAGCCATTATGCAAATTTCTTCCTGAAAGGAATAAGGCTTGCCTTGTGTAAAGCACAAAATATAGATGTGAATACATGAGTGTTGATTTGAACATGATGAGAGTCTTGGAAGCAGAATCTTACTCAAATTCCCTTGCCAATAGAAGGTTCCATGCGAACATCAGCGAGGTTCCCAGACACACTGCACACACATCAACAACAGTCTTTTTGCTTATATGGGCAAGACTATGTACATTGATCCTCCCAAATCTAGCATTTCCAGAGCTTTATGCACTAGGCCACCCCCTTTTTGTGCAAGTCTCATATATATTCAATATCTTTTCCATACTCACAAGTGCATACTACAATGAATTTACTTAATCTCATATCTTTCACATGTAAATCTATCTAATCACAAATGAGTACCCAACAAACGCTTGAATCCAAACTGAACACCCGACAATCTCATCAATTTACTATGTGCAAGACATTGTTCATGGTTTCCTGTATGGGTCAGCCATATGATGTCCACAAGTTATGGATTATGGGCTTCCAAATAAATCACACCGTAG